GTGCCGATTGACACAGAGAGAGAGAGAGAGAGAGAGAGAGAGAGAGAGAGAGAGAGAGAGCGCACCCGGAGAGAGTGTGCAGATTGACAGAGAGAGAGAGAGAGAGAGAGATCACCCGGAGAGAGTGTGCAGATTGACACAGAGAGAGAGAGAGGTAAGACAAAAGAGTGATATGAGTGGGTTTTTGTTCCCTGATATTATTGTTATTTATAAAATAATAATACTAATTATTATTTTCCGTTTATTTTCATTCACCCCCGTTCATAGGCACACGCTGGCCGCAGATGAACCGGGCTTGAGAACTGGCGGGGAAGAGCGAGAGTCAGCAGCACGCGCTCCGTTCAGAGAGAGCAAAGAGTGAGAGTCTGTGCAAAAGTGTGTGACCGCAGGGATGGGACAACATGTTGCGAGAGATTGTGCGCTCAGCGAGAGAGAAGGACTGCAATGACTGGGAGAGAGTAAGAGAGGAAGTAATTGAGAAGGCTGATCTGCCGTCTTTTGGACAAACATCATGCATCTGGCCCTGGTAAGAGTCTGAGTGCATTCGGACTTAGCTTCCAATTGGGCCCGGAAGCTCCCTCCCAGATTATCCATCCCGTTTGCTGATTGTTATTTCTTCGCTGCTTCGGTCGAGCACAGTGTGGGAAAGGCTAGCATCCAATCAATGCTAGAACGAACTCAGGAATACTTTCTGGTCRTTTGGGAAGCGAAAAAAAAAAAAAACGTTAACCGAGATCAGTCTTCAAAAGGAAGTGTAACAGGCGATCCAAACGTATCACAGCACCCTGCCGCTCGCTGAGGACCTCGGATGCGGGCGCAGCGAGTGACAGGCGCTGTGGCCCCTGGCTTTAGCGAACGGTAGGCGACCCCTCCCCGGGTTTTCCTAACACCGGGCCACATCCCAAAATGGGATGAAAAATAAATAAAAGCAATAAAAATTAATAAATATTTAGAAAATAGAAGAAGGGACGAGGGGAGGGGAAGGACCGTCGGAACCCGGCCCTCGGTCCTGCCCATCAGGCTCGTGAATGGGATTAAAAATAAATAAAAGCAATAAAAATTAATAAATATTTGAAAAATAGAAGAAGGGACGAGGGGAGGGGAAGGACCGTCAAAACCCGGCCCTCGGTCCTGCCCATCGGGCTCGCGATCGGACTTCGCAACAAAACTAAGGGGGATAGTCCCATAGGAACCCCTTTGTCCTCTTGTAAGATGCTCCTCCGCCCCTCATCGTCGGCTGCTGGCTTCGATCCCCGGGTCTTCGTAGTGTTAATCCAAAGTCGTAACCGATAGGGATAGGTCCAAGCTTGGATTTAACAGGCGCGAACTTGGTTATAAAGACGGCCGTTTCAGGCCTAGGCCTGTCGGACTGTACTAAAGGTCGTACTCAGGCACATCGGTCATCTCTAAGGCTCCTATGTGCCGGCCCTTGCTGTATGAAGGGGTCAGTTCTACCTGCCACTGTCATGCATGTAGCCAAATCGCGCCGTTACCTAAGAACTCCAGCTTTCTCACTAGGCTACCATTCCAAAAGACCGCACTTTTACCACCCCAGCGTCAGAAAAACTCCAATTTTTATAATGTCGCCCGCGGCTTCTACCGCTGACCGATATCATGGTCGGCCTAGGAAGTCAAGCATTTTGCACCTCACTGATCTTAGTGCCGTAGCCAGTAAGTCAAGCAGATTCGATGACTAGATCCTAACCCCGATCATCGAATGCAAATGCGCTTTGCGGGCGCTACTGCAGTCGCTTCACAACCCCTTTCTAGTTCGCGCTACTAGGCGTGAGCGCTGCTACCATGACCAGCTGTCCACCTAAAACCCCATGCGTACCCTCGAAGTGCACGCCCACACACCCTCTAATCAGATCAAAAGCCTGTGCCATTCCCAACCCATGAGAGTTGGTTATGGTCACAAGGAAATGGGTCATTCTCTCGAGTATTGTCAAAAACGCACCTTTTGCAAGATGCAAAAATGTGCCCAAATACCGTTGTAAGGGTATTCGGGCCGACAACGGAAAGGGAGGTGGGGAGTGGGAGGGAGAGGGAGAAAGCGAGGCAAATGCCGGCGTCAAACAGAGGTGTGCCACAGGGCAGTACCCAAGACCAAAGCTTGGGAGGAGAGAGGTGTCTGAGAGAGAGCTCGATCCCTCCACGACCTCCTCCTCCTCCACATTCTCCTCCTCCTACTCCTCCTTCCTCCTCCACCTCCTTCTCCACATAACACAGGGTAACACCCAAGACACAGATGACAACTGTTAGAGAGCAATTAGAGAGCTACCAGGACAGCGAAGAAAGGCAAGCATGCAGCAAACCTCATGCACATGTCCGCTGTGAGCATACTCGTACCAGGACTTCCCTGTATGTATCTGACTGCAATTACGGACGGTCCTCTGTGTACCTGACTGCAGTTGCATCCAGAAAATCAGTCAAACAAGACCTGTCCCGGGAGACTTTCAACAAGCATATGTGGTAACAAACGTAGGAAATTCAAAATGCTATCGCAGCAGCGAGTGGACAACCAGGATCCATTGAGGGGAACAAAACAAAAAGAACAAAACCGACATGGTTAGACTGAAATTCAACGTATCTGGACTTGATAGGACATGGTTTTGGAAAATTCACCAGATTAGAATGTTAGACTCGACCACGGAGAATGATATTTACTTCAATTGCGGATGGACTGGATAGGTTCTGATTGACATGGAACACAATTTCATTGGGTTGTGGATTGGACACGCTTGTGAAAGGGTAGATTGAATTGGATTGGGAAAAGGCTGTACTATCTTGGATGGGACTGGGGACACAATTATCTCTTTGATTGGACTGGACTGGATTTGACTTGGACTGGATAAGATTGGGGCTGGACAGGATTAACTTGGGATTGCATTGGGTCAGATCGGATTGGGTCCAACCGTTGAATTGGCTGCAAGTGGGATTGAACTACAGTAGAGTAGAAAAGATAGGATTCAATGGAATGGGATGGAATTTGTTTGAATCCGGTCCAGTTGGATCAGGTTCGGTGGGGTTTGCTTGGATAAGATTGGATAAGATTGGATAATGTTAGCTGGACTTGGATTGGATCGTGGTTTGATGGGAATTGGATTTGATTGGATTAGATTGCAAAAGCTTCAGTGGATTGGGTTGATTGGGTTGGATTGGATTATGACATAAGCTTTGATTGCCTTCAATTGTGATTGCGTAGGGGTTGGGATAGGATTTGATTGGATAAGATTACAAAAGCTTTCATTGGATTGAGTTGGACTGGATTGGATTCGGTTGGATTGGATTGGACTGGATTGGGGTTGGGGTTGGATGGGCTAGGATTTGATTGAATTGGATTGCAAAAGTTTTGATTGTATTCCATTGGATTGGAATAGGGGTTTGGTTTGCGCAGGATTAGATGGCATTGAGTGGATCAGGTTGGACAGCGTTGGACTGGATAAGATTGACTTCGATTCGATTGGGTTGGGTTGAGGTCGGATTGACTTTGATTGGATTGTACATTGGTTTTGACTTGCTTGACATCCATTGAATTGTACATAGGTTTTGAATTGGATACGCGTTGCAGATAAAATTGGATTGGATAAGCTTTGATTGCATCGATGTTAATGGATCGGATTGGATAAATGTGTGAAGTGTTCATTGAACAGGACAGAATTGAATTGAAATTGGATGTAACTTCATATAAGCCTTGATTGGATAGATTTTTGTTGAGCACAGACATAGATTGGGACTCACTGGAGCCGCCGACTATGAATCGAAAAGTGGATTCGGTCAGCTTTCCTGGAATTTATTATTGATCGACAACAAGACGAATTACGAAGCATGGTAGAGCCGCCGTAACTCTTCAATAGTAGCCGGCATGAAGGTTACAGGGCACCTGCAGTGTTGAGAGACATATCTATAGATGCACGGGTAACAGAAGACGAACCCAGAAGAAGGCACAAGCGTTGGATTAGTCCTCATCTGCATGCAGAGAGGACACAGCTGCCGATCTTCTGGTAATCCTACGCTCTCCGCCTCCTCTTGCCCACCGGCAAACTTCCTGGGAGGAGGTGGAGGTGGTGGCGGGGGAAACACCTTCGGAACTGCCATGTTCTGCTCCGCTGTACGATACCACCACTCGAGCACCTTGAAGGCAAATACGGCGCCAATCAAACCCGTCTGAGCGTAATCAAGAGTAGCAAGGATAAGCCTCGATATCATCTTCCTAATTGCAGCAAGACTCAAGTTTGACCAAATCCTAACACTACTGCTAGCGTGCGATGTTCGAACAACACGATCATCAGCTGCCATAGCTCTCGACCTGTTCCCGGCTGCTGCTGCATCCATCTCTTCCCCTGTGATTCGTCTCACTACCACCCCTTGCAAATGGAGCCACGGTGAGTAATACCGCGTCATCTCCAGGATGTAGCAGACAACATACCCAAAACACAAACTTTCTGTGCACACATGAACTGCTGGATAAACTCTTCCTAAAATAGACTTGATTGCCCTCCTCAGTCTCACAGCAACAACTCGAAGGACATTTCTGCTCCTGCTGCTTCTGCCAGTGCTGCTGTTGCCAGGCCCTCTCCCTCTTCGTCGTCCTCCTCTTCTTCTCCCCCAAACGCCTGAGTCACCTCCCCCGATAACCTCCTCGTTGTTGAAAGACCCATTACTCAAACTATCTTCCTCCGATGTAGCACTTCTCTCGATCTCGGACTCTGTCTCATCATCCTCATCCTCATCATCATCATCATCATCGTCTTCTTCTTCTTCGCCGTCATCATCATCACCATCACGATCCTCCTCCACCCCAATTGCCGCCGCCTCCGAATCGCTCCCTCCATCGAGAAGCATGGACCGCAGCAATCGCGACCGCCGAAGAGCATGGTACTGTTGGGCTTTCGCCTTGAGGTATGGGATTCCGACCAGGAAGACGAGAGCCAAAATGCGCTGCTGTCGCGTCAGACTACCACCACCTCCCTCGCCGTGTGGCTGCCAGTGTTTCCCAGATGTAGACGGATTGTTTTCCAGACGGCCTTTGTTAGCTGTATACCCAGATGCAGACATCGACATGCTTGGCGGGTGAGATGCAGGAGAACGATGTTTGTGCTGCTGCTGATGATGATGAGCATCATGCTGCAAAGAGGGAGAAGAGACGGCCATAGCTGACATGGCTGAGGTGGGAGGTATTCTGGTGGACTGACGTCTCAAGCCATACAAATTCTCGGAAAAGGAGGCATTGTGAGTGTGTAGACACTGTCCTTCGAAAAGCAACATTAGCAGTGCAAACGCCTCGTTACGGTAATCCAACAATCTGTACAGGAATGGGTGTCGAGGGGCAAACACCTCCAAAGCATAGAACAGACCGTGCTTGATGCTAACGGGAAGCTGATCAGCAGCTACCATTTCGAAGAAAGTGGGGCGGCTCCCACCCCCTGCGACCTGAAAAAGCATGCTGGTAACGAAGCCCCCCTTAAAAAAGAAGAAAAGTAGAGCATACACACAACAAAAGAAAGCAAGACAAGCAGCGGCAGCAGGGAGCAGGAGGAATCAAGTGGAGTGAAAAGGTGGAGTGTGAAAGAAGAAAACACACTAGGAGAGGAGAATGAGAGAGAAGGGAAACGGGAGACGAGGAGAAAGGAGAACACAGGAGGGGGCTAGAGAACAAGATGAACAGAAGACAGTGGAAAGAGATGACCAGCAGGAGGAGGACACGGCGACAACCAGAAACAGGAAGAGAGAAGTGAAGAGGGAGGAGGAGGAGGAGGAGGAGGAGGAGGAGGAGGAGGAGTGAAAGGGAGGTGGATGAAAGGAGGAAGGACAACAGACGAGGAAATTGAAAGAGGGGTCAGAGAAGGGGGGAGAGGACATATCAGAAATAACGACAGCAGCAAGAACGTGGGAGAGGAGGAAGGGAAGAGGCGGGAGAGGAGGAAGAGGAGGAAGAGGAGGAAAAGGAGTAGTAACAGTGAGAGGGAGTGAGTAAGGTATGTAGATTAGAGGAGGAAAGACACTACCATCTTTCCCCGAACACAACGCACCCTTATTTTGGCTGTATCTGGCCGGAAATATAGCTTGTATACATTCATTATTAGGGTGCGTTAGGTTCGGGGGAAGACGGGTAGAGAAGGACACTGAAAGAGGGGTGACGAAGGTGGCAAAGGAGTACGGAACGGAGCCTGGAGGCGGAGAAAAGACAGGAGAAGCCAAGCAGCAGAAGCAGCAGCAGGAGAAGGAGGAAGAGGTGAAGGAGGGGGGGAATAGCAACAACGATCTTCACGCTCCTTGGTCTGACCCATCCACTCCTAGGTTTCCTAAAATAGCAGCAACCCCACTTGTAGCTGCGCCATCAAACAAGCTGCTGAGAATGATAGGACCCCTACCGACACAGCGGATACCTAAGAGTACAGAAGCAGACCGTTGATCATGCCCACTTTGTCCTTTTTGTCATCATCCATACAATGAATGATGGGTGATGGCACTCCTCCCCGAGGACATCGAGAGATTGCTATTACGTTTTCTTCTACCGATCTTCAGTTTGCCTCTTCGGCATACCTGCAGCAGAAGCAAGGAACCCAAAAACCCAGACGACCACACACCAACTGAGATCAGCAAAATTGACATGGCATAAGAGTGTAAAGTCACAAGAGCTGGGTGCCTGCACCATCACAAGCTCCAACCTATTCAACCAATATCAATCAATCAATCAATCCATCCATCAATACCATCATCAACAACATTGCCATCATCGCGAGGGAAACATGGGTACAATCAATCAAACAATCAATCAAACAATCAATCAAACAATCAATCAAACAATCAATCAGTCAATGTCATCATCAAGGACACCATTACCATCATCGGGAGGGAAACGTGGGTATCAATCAACCAAGCTCCAGCCGGAGTGTGCAGGTTTTGTTTCAAGCATCTGAATTGCAGACCAGGAGGTCCCTGGTACTTTGGTACTTGGTGGTTTTCGCGTTAGTGCCAAGTGCCGTCTCCGGTAGGCAGGCAGCTGCACTCCAGCCTGTCCACCGGGAGCTGCACTCCAGCCTGTCTACCAGAGACACCATTTCGCACTAATATGAAGACCAAGCAGTACCAAAATACCGGGGACCTCCTGTTCTCCGCATCAGATGCATGAGACAAAAAGCAAGAACTGCACACCCAACTGCCAAGGTCTGTGCGACTGAACCTGGTTCATGCCCATGACCAGGACGATGCACCTGAGCCCACTCCCTGTCGCTCACCACGTTTCCAGACTTACTTTAACCGCCAGTTCCCCCGAAGCAGAGTGCACTCAGCTCTTACAAGTATATATGCGCGGTAAGAGCTTTCTCATTCGGGCCGAGGCCGGTAGCTAAAGCGGGAGGCCACTTTTGAAAAACCGCACTTGCAGGCTTGCAAGCCTTCGGAAGGTATAGCTTCTTCTTTTCCTCTTTCTGAAAAGCAAAAAAAAAAGAGGCGACGGTCTTGAAAAAAAAGAGAGGATTTAAGAGAAAAGAGGAGGAAAAAAAAAAAGTTATCATCAACCAACTCACCGGCCCAAGGTAATTCAAAAGGAGGGAGTCCCATAGGATTAGGGGGCCTCTACCACATGGCCGAGTGCCGAAGAGGCCCATGGGTTGGCATGGTGACCGTGACCCGTGCTTCGACCAGGGCCCTTTAGAGGCACCGCCCTCTCCTGCCATATGCGCCACTCTCATATATGTCTATAATCCAGCCTCAACAACAACCTGGGCAAAAAAAAAAGAGTGTAGTATTCCTCTCATCTGCTTCCAGTGGAGTAAAAAACTCGGGTCTGTATCTCAACAGTTCCCCAAGGGTGTAGCAACAGAGCTTCGTCTTTTAATGAAAGCGGAGGGGGACAAAATTACATGCCTCCAAATTCACATCATAGGTAAGTACAAAAGTGGAAGACGAAAAATAAAGGATATAAAATTAGCGATAAACTCGAATTATTTTTTTCATTCAATCCAAACCACAACTCTTCTGAGGGTTTGTCAAAAAGAAAAAGAAGTATTTTATCCGAATCTTTTAGGATCTTTGAAATATCGTCATTTTTTTCGAAATTTGAATATTGTTTTAGGATCTATATGACTATATCCCGCGTAAAATCTTTTTTTTTTTTTTTTTTTTTTTTTAATTTTTTGAGTTGGTGCTAGGGTAGCTGATAAGAGCAGACTACCCTAGCATTCTCTGGGAAGCTGGAAAACAAGAGCACCATCATTGACAAATGAGCTGGGAAGAAAAAATCACTTTTTTTCATACCTGGAATCATATAGGTTACATATGATCTTAGCATCACATTCAAGATCTCTCCGGAGAGACACTTGAGAATAATTTTGTAAGGTTGTACTAGATTACCTGTCGCGGGTCCGGCCGCAAAAAAGAAGGAACATTTTGCACATGAAGAGAGCGCATCAGGAGGTTGAACCACGGCAGTCTGTCCAGGATGCATTTGACTGATGGATGGATAAGGACTCACCACGTCACCCAGAGCTAGCGATATCCCAGAGTCAGGTGGCTGGCTTTGCACACACCAACCCTGGGTGGGTGGGTGGGTGGGTGGGTGGGTGGGTGTAAGCCTTGGTTCAGTAGGCCGAGACGGTGTGATTGAAAGTCGCTCGGGGGTCGTTGTAGGAGTTGCCTTCAACTATAAGAGTGTCATTGTTGTTAAGCAGGAGCTGTCACTTATGAATGGGGCATTCAACATTCAATCTGCTTGGGATTTGCTGTTCGCTCCGAAACACTCGAGCAGCCGTACTGCTGGGCGTGCATCTTGGAGCATTTCCTGGAAGAAATAAGGCAAAGACGAAACCAGACGGCACGTGTCAGAATCAGCCCGTGGCCAGCGTGTCTCTCTCTCTCTCTCGCGCGCGCGCGCGCGCGAAATCTCAACAATTAACGATCCAAAAGAAAGAGACAACACGATTTTTGATGGCCACACACACACCCGCCCCCGCGCCGGACCTTCCCGCCCTTGCGCCAGCCCTCCTCGCCGAGTGCGCCAACCCTCCCCCCTTGCGCCAGCCCTGCCCCCCCCTCCCCAACTGCACCCACCTTCCTTCGCAACTGCGCCCACTCTCTTCCTCCACCTCGCTCAGCACCACGTCCACCCTCCTCCCCCACTGCACCGGTCCTCTTTCCCCCCCTGCGTCAGCCCTCCTCCACGACTGCACCGACCCTCCTCCCCCTCTGCGCCAACCCTCCTCGACTGCCCCCACCCTCCTTCCTAACCGCGCCCACCGCGCCTAGCCGCCGCGCCCACCCTCCTCCCTTACTGCGCCGACCCTCCTCTCCGACTGCACCGACTCTCTTTCCCCAGTGCGCCGACCCTAATCCCTCACTGCCCCGACCAACCTTCCCCACTAACGTTGTGAATTCCGGCCGTCCATTCGATGAATGTGATGTAAGGGAGAGAGAGAGAGACAGAACGTAGTAGCAGCAGACCACTTGCATTACTCCCCCCCCCCTTCCCTTTGCAACTGTCTTATCCCCCAGCGCTCTCTCTCTCTCTCTCTCTCTCTCTCTCTCTCTCTCTCTCTCTCTCTCTCTCTCTCT